CAAATCATACCTCCTCAGGAAATAAGGGAGTTCAAAAGGATAAGGAAGAAAAGATAACAGAATACCCTATGATCAGGATGCATTCATATCTATACTGCATGACCTTCTCAAAACTCTACTGATAGTTTCATCAGAAAAGGTTTCATACCATCATCCTACTATCAACTCAAGAGACCCCATGTCATTCCCCCCAAAAAATCAACAAGTTTTCTAAAAAAAGCAGAATATCATTTTTCTAGGTAGTAAAGGCCTTGTCTGATACATTATCTCCAAGAGGATTTTACATCTGAAAGCTGTTCCAAGCTATATCCCTGCACATAAAATAAGATCAATCAAAATAATTAGGCCAACCTACAAGTAAGGGTAGATCAAGGACAAAGAGAATTCAGATAATAGACAGTATGAATCAGGGCCAGGCCTGGTGACAGGGCATATCACCCCATGTGCCCAACTCAATTTCTCCCCTTTCATTGCAATCCACTTGAAGATGCCATACAACTCTGTGCATGTAATGCTAATATAAGATACTGAACCTCAAGAAATTCACATAGATGATTTTTAAAATAAGATAAATTGTCTAGTAGGGGGTTTGGGGGTAAAGCTTTGAAATTAAAAATCCAAAACTCAGATCTTAATCCAAGCTCTTCCACTTACTATTATCATGTGACCTTAAGCAAATGACTTAACCCCAGGGCCTCTACTTCTTCATCTGAGAAATGGTGGTGCTAATAATAATACTGTCTACGTCATAATTCATTGATTTTATTATATTCATTTAGTCATATAGTTAATAAATATTTATTGAGTATCTGCAAYATGCTAGGTTTTGTTGAAAGGTACCATAGTAAACAAGGCAGGAAAAAATAACCTCTTCTTTCATAGAGCTTACAGTTAAATACGTAAGTAAAATACATGGTAGAATGTGGGAGGCCATCGCGATATGTGATCAGCATTTTCCTTCCCTGATTAATTAAGGCTTTGTCAGTCACTTCCCGTGATCTGGCCACATCAAAGTGGACCTAGATGGCTGCCCCAATCCCGGAAGTCGCAAAATGTGTCTTCATGAGTAGGCGTACCTTCCTACAGCCCCAGGGGTCGAGTTACCTTACCTGTCCTTGTAACCCTGCCACCCTTGACCTGTTTTGGATGGAAATTTCTAAAGAATGAGAGTCCCCCCAATAAAAAAGCCCACTCCTGAAGTGCTCGCTCTCTCTCGCCAGCCTCTTGTGACATTCCTCCCTCTCCCATTTGGGGGGCGTGAGGCCGAGGGCAGAGGAGCTGTCCTGGGGCTTGAATTAAAGGTAAATTGTGTGTCTGTGTTTTATTTGATACCTTAGGAAATTCACTCAAGCGATCCTTAGTTTGGCTGCCCACACTGACGAGGGCAGCAATTGACACCCATAAAGTTGGGCTGCTCGAGGAGAATTTCCAGGTTGATTGAGGAAGCCAATATGGCGTCCACCACTCRTCTCCATTTTTGCCTTCACTTCTGCCTCCTTTGGCACCAAAAAAAATGAGGGGAGGGCCTTTCCCCAGGCTTAGAGTTGCAGGCTCTGACGTCATCACAGCCGACCATGGACCGCCATTATCTGCCCGGTCCCTTCCAGACAGTACTTTTACAACCAGCCATGATAATTGATTTAACACCTGAAATGGGACCCCGGAAGATTCCTACTGGGATCTGTGGGCCATGACCCTCAGGCACTATAGGCTTAATTTTGGGACGAAATAATTTTAAAGAGGCAATCCCAGTAATACCGGGAGTTATTGATCCGTATTTTAGAGGTGAGCTAACAGTCACTGTAAAATCAGAATATGCCATTTGGCTTTCTACTAAAGACATGCTAGCCCAATTAATACTTTTATCCTGTAGCAGTCCAATTAAAACCTCGATTTCTGAGTCACCAGAGTGTACTGTGCCCAGTTACTCCTTCAGGAGCACCCCCTACTGGAACTTAAAATTAATCATAAAAAATTTCGAGGAATTATAGATACTGGGGCAGATAAATCTGTTTTATCTCACTGATTTTGGCCCAAAACCTGGCCTTTACATACTGTGTCAACTTAGAAGGCATAAGGCAGATTTCTCAGCATGCCCAGAGCGCCCAGTATCTTTGCTGGGAGGCCCGAGATGGAAATACTGGAATTTTTAAGCCTTATGTTTTAGATACATTAGCAGTAAATTTATGGGGAAGAGAAACCCAAGCAGCTTAGGATTATTATTAATAACTCCAAATTCTATCAGGTCATTTGAGGAATTTAATCAAAGGTTTACTCCTAGGGATAGTGAGAGAAATTTAGAGGATAAATACCTACTTATGACCCAGTATCCTCAACAGAGATTAATTAATGCACCAAATAAAAATTGGGGGGGGCCTGACTTTTTCCCCAGCCCAAAAGGCAGCAGAAAAGATCACTTGGCTCAGGGAAGAGCCAATTTGGGTTAGTCAGTGGCCTCTAACTGGGGAAAAACTTAAAATAGCTCATATGTTAATTGAAGAACAACTCCAAGCAGGTCACACAGTGCAACAGCCTCCCACAGTAGAAGTATAAAGGAAAAAAATCAAGCTGAGAAGCAGAATAGAATATATAAAGGGTACAGTTTTAAGCATGGTAGTCTAGGAAGGATCCCTGAGAAGGTAACATTTGATCAAAGACTTGAATAAAATAATGATATTTGGTGGGTTGGACCCCAAGAGCAGTCTTTCCTCATGCAGGTAATAAAGGAGTCTTTCATTATATAATAACTTTTAAATAATAATGAAATAGACCAAAATCAGTCTGCTCTTAATTATCACCATATATCTCTAACAATATCAGGGATAAAACACTCCTCCTTGAACAAAAATGAAAAAAAATTTAACTAGCCTAAATTCCAATTTGCTATGATTTCTACTGAATTTTAATGTTACTTATGTGAGCTTCCAGTTAGCACAATTTTTTGCATGTTTTGAGAACCAGAGAGGATAGGCCTAAGCAGAGAAAGAAGGTTTGCAGAGTCTCTCCCAAATGGTTAGCAAAATACTGATCAGCACATAAGTGTGAGAAAACTCCCTGAGGATGGGAAAAGAACAATCCAAATGATGAGAAAAAACAATGAATGTCCAGAGTCAAACAGGGCTGAGAACAAGGTATGTTCCCACTAGATAGATGAGAAAAATAATTCCTGGGTAAAACACCCAAAAAAGTGTTGCCCCAATAATGGGAAATAATTGGCCCTGCACTATTCCCAACCCACCAAACAAATCACAAAATCAAGACCCAAAAAGAATCAAAGTTTCCAAATAACTTAAGGGCATTTCAGGATAAAGTTGAATATCTAAAGGAATACAAAAATGTTAGCATGCCACAAAGTAATATTAACAATATTTGCTTATTCAAGATTATCAGACATGCAAAGAGGCAGGAAAGCATCAGATATGATAACAAAATCGGTCAATTGAATCCCATGCTGGGCTGATGCAGATGTTAAAACCGGCAGAGAAGTTAACATAGTTGTCATAACTGTATTTCATATGTTCATAAAGTTAGGTATAAACATGAGACCAAACTAAACATTTATAAAAGTTAACCTCAGATTAGATATTGCAGAAGAAAAAATTAGTGAACTTGAATTCATAGCAAGAGAAATGATTTTTTAAAAAACACAAAGGACTAAAGCTGGCACTCAGAAGAAATTATTTTATCAGAGCATAGCCTATCTGGGTGAAGGGAAATAAACTTCAATCCACTCCAGCTATCCTATGCCACCTAAGGAGGGAAAAAAATAATAAGAGGCATCAGGGAAGTTCACAGTTCAGAGCACAAACTCACCAAAAGACTGAGAGCTAATTATAAAACTATAGAATGTTTCTTCTGTCTATGTACCCTTACCATGACATTATTAAAGGCCTGCAATTCCTTTTACTGGGTATATCACATCCTCCTTTGACAAAAAAATACAAGGCATACTAAATGGCAAAAATATGGCTTAAAAAGCAAATAATACAGTTTTAAATAATTGACCAAGCATCAGAACCAGAGTTATACATAGCACAAATATTGGAATTATCATACCAGGAGTCTAAGAAGACTGTGATTAATATGAGCAAGGCTTTAGCAGAAAAAGTAGATACCATGAAAGAACAGATGGATAATATAAACAGAGAGATGGAAATTCTAAGAAAGATTTGAAAACACATGCTATAGATCAAAAACATAGTGAGAAAAATGAAGACTGTCTTTGAAGGGCACATTAGTAGACTGGATTTCATTGAGGAAATAATTTCTGAGCTTGAGGTTGTCAATGTGATAGCTAAAATTTTATAAACTAACTACATCAAGTGTTAGTGAGAATATGGATGATCTGTAATTCTCATACACTGATGGTAAGAACGTAAAAAAATATAACGACTTCAAAAAATAGTTTGACCTACATTTTCTCTTTTGTCTCTCCTGGTTAATACCTATGACTTTACAGTTATTTCTGTTTATTCCATTTGTTTCCATTTGCATTTTAAGTGCTCAATAAATAGTTGTGGAGTGAATGGAAGAATAGCACATCTCAAAAAAAACACAATTTGCTTCTGTCGCTGTAGTGGAGTGGAAGACTCTATGAGGTCAGAAGAGGGAGCAATCATCCCTCATGGATGAGGAAGCAAGGTTCTTACACTTCACCTTACTATGATGTGTGTGTGTGTGTGTGTGTGTGTGTGTGTGTGTGTGGGTGGGTGGGTGTGTTTACCCATTAATGGGTGTGTCAAACCCATTAATTTTTACAATTAATATGAGTTAATAATAATAATTTTAGGGGCTGGGGTTGTAACTCAGCAGCAGAGCACTTGCCTAGCATGTGTGAGTTACTGGGTTTGATTCTCAGCATCATATAAAAACAAATAAAATAAAGGTCCATTGAGGGCTGGATTGTGGCTCAGTGGTAGAATGCTTGCCTAGCATCCATGAGGCACTGGGTTCAATCCTCAGCACCACATAAATAAATACAAAATAAAGATATTGTAGGTTGGGGCGTTCCGCGCGCCCTTCATTGAAGCGGCGGTGGCCGGGCTGGGCGCCGGGAGTGGGAAGCGACGGCGCGGCTGGAAAATGCCGGTCCATTCCCGAGGGGATAAGAAAGAGACGAACCACCACGATGAGATGGAGGTGGACTACGCCGAAAACGAGGGGAGCAGCTCCGAGGACGAGGACACTGAGCGCTCGTCGGTCTCTGAGGATGGAGATAGCTCAGAAATGGATGACGAAGTCTGTGAAAGAAGAAGAATGGAATGTTTAGATGAAATGTCCAATCTTGAAAAACAGTTTACAGATCTCAAAGATCAACTTTATAAAGAACGATTAAGTCAGGTGGATGCAAAACTGCAAGAAGTCATAGCTGGAAAAGCACCAGAATATTTGGAACCACTGGCAACTTTGCAAGAAAATATGCAAATTCGTACAAAGGTAGCAGGAATCTATAGAGAGCTCTGCTTAGAATCTGTAAAGAACAAATATGAATGTGAAATTCAAGCTTCTCGTCAGCATTGTGAGAGTGAAAAGCTTTTGTTATACGATACAGTCCAGAGTAAGCTGGAGGAGAAGATAAGAAGGCTTGAGGAGGACAGGCACAGCATTGACATTACTTCAGAGTTGTGGAATGATGAACTTCAGTCAAGAAAAAAGAGAAAGGATCCTTTCAGTCCTGACAAAAAGAAGCCAGTTGTTGTCTCAGGTCCATATATAGTTTATATGCTACAAGATCTTGATATTCTTGAAGACTGGACAACAATTAGGAAGGCAATGGCTACACTGGGTCCACACAGAGTGAAAACAGAACCACCTGTGAAACTGGAAAAACATCTGCACAGTGCTAGATCTGAAGAGGGAAGACTATATTATGATGGTGAATGGTACATACGTGGACAGACAATATGTATTGATAAAAAAGATGAATGTCCTACGAGTGCCGTAATTACAACAATTAACCATGATGAAGTTTGGTTTAAGAGGCCTGATGGAAGCAAATCTAAGCTTTACATTTCCCAACTACAGAAAGGAAAATATTCAATTAAACATTCGTAATCATGATTTAAGTGTTATCTAAATYTACCTTATTAGTGTTACCAAGTGTGATTTGCCAAGGGAGTAAAAAACTGTATTCAATAATTTAATATTCTCATCAAATCCTGAGAGAATGTGTATTTGTAGGTAGTACTCTAAGTAGATCTCCTATTGATATGTTATTAAAAGAAATACTAATAACAATTTAATCATGATCAGTACATTTATATTATGTACAATGACCAATAAGTGTATATGGTAGGGATTTCTTTTTAATAATTTTTTGTTTTTAAAAAAATTATGCAAATCTGCCTCATCTTTAGTGAACTATGGCTACATTTATCTGCAGTTTTAAAATTTTCCATATCTTTGTCACTCATCATGTTTGTAAATAAGACTGATAAAATGTTTCCTATGAATGGTTTGTACCAGTACATTAGTGTGAAATCAGAATTGAAATTTAAACATATATTGTGAGTATGTATATATGGCATCATCAGCTTATTTAGAACTGATGGCCTTACCTTACAATCTTGTTTTACCCAAAATTAAACTATTGGGTTTGAAAGCTAAAAGGAGCACTTTTGTAGAATAGCTTTCCTTTTCCTCTTCCTTGATTGTATGGTGGTGACCTTTTTTAATGAATTATACTTAATGTTAATTAGTAAAATTAGTGTCAAGTGATAACATGTTTCTACCTGTATTTCTTGTGACCCTTTTGAGGGCAGGTGTTCATGCCTGGTATTTATGATGCAGTATGTTAGTGGTGAATAGTAACTGACAGTATTGTGGTGTTTGCTGTACATGTCTGATCTTTTGAAACAGATTTTTAGTAAGCATTTTCCAGAGGTAAAAACTAGGTCCTTATTCTAATTTTATTCATAGGGCAAAATAGGGATAATTTCCTTGAGTCTATTCTCAAATTAATATTTTTATCTTTGGCGTTTTTACACTTTAGGGCCATTTGGTGCAATTTAGAGAGTGTTGGCCTCCCTTCCCATAGCCACATTCAAAATGAACTTCCAAAGCCTCAGGAACAGTACAAAGAATTGAAACCCTCAATATGGCAGCACAGTTGGCTGTAGTATATATTTAGGGTACAACCAAATCATGTATTCCTGGTGGTCTTATGCACTTTAATTTCTGTTACAACAAGACTTAAGAGGATGAGGAAGAAATCTACATATTAACACTTAGTGCCAGAGTATCTGCATGATTCCGTTTGTTTTCTTACTGTTTTACCTCTGCAAACATCCTGTGCAGATCACTACTTCGCAGTTGCCAAATTTTAAAACATTTGACTTCTGAAATTCAATATCAGCAAAGTTATGCTACTTTGTTTTATTTCTAATTAACCTTAGCAACTGTACATAATGTCATAATCCAGTATTTGACAGTTCTTATGTATACAATGTTTGATAAGCATTTTTAATAAGATTTGTATTTTTAAATTTAGTATATAATAAAAAGATGTGCTTGAGTGTCATTTGCAGTGTCTTGAATTACTTCCGCACATTTAGTTCTTTTATTATTTGTAACCTGTCCACTTCTAAGAAAGATTTGAACTGTTTTAACATTAATAGATATGGAGTGGTAGAGTGTTGCACAAGTGTTTCTGCTTTCCTAAACCACAATTAAGCCTCTTTTGGGTTCTATTTGGATGTTGAAGAAAGCTAAGTTATGCTTAATTAAAAATATTCATGCATACATATTGTACTTTAATAAAAATGTACTGTTGAAATTATAAATTATAAATAGAAACTAAAAAAAAAGATATTGTATACACCTAAAACTAAGAAATAAATATTAAAAAAAGGTCCACAGGCTAGGGATATAGCTCAGTAGAGTGCTTGCCTTGCATGCATAAGACCCAGGGTTCAATCCCCAGCACCACAAAAAAAAAGATGCATTAACAGCTAAAAAAAATAATAAATGTATTATTATTGTTGTTATTTTAGAAACAAAAAATAACATGGGTATAATAAAAAATAAATAAATTTTACTTTGAATGGGGAAAGGATTTTAATGGGCAATGAGAAGTAGAAAAATCCACCCCAAGCCAAAAAAAAAAAAAACCAGCTTGGATAGAAGAGACACAGAGGCTGACAACTGCAGAAAGGCTTAGGGAACAGAGCACACAACCAACCAGAGACTCAGCACCTGTCCCTTCCCTGCCCAGCCCACATGTTGTTTTCTTTTAATATTTTTTCTTTTGATCTGTTTTGTTTTGATTGATCAGGGAAAGAAACTGTCTCAATCTACATATCACTTTTTAGAGAATAGAAAGATACTTCCTGTTTCCCCTCCTCACAAAGGCAAGATGGGCACGGTGACTGTAATGAATAGCAGTAAAAGCCATGATCAGAACAGCCTGACTCAGGCCAACCTATAGCATGATGTTCCTGGAAATAAGTAGGAAACTTACTAAATTCTTGCTTGATCTATATAAGCAGAAAAGTTCTAGGTCAAGTAAACAAGTCTGATCAGAATCAAAAGCACAGAGTCACAGTCCCTCATTCAATTTCCAGACTTGAGCCAGTTTACAAACCCAGAACCCCTTGAATGAAGGGGAAACTAGTTCCCTTGAGAACAGACCCTGTTATGGTACAACTCCAAATCCAAAGTGATCTATGGTCTTTTACCAGGAAAACTGTGCACTGGGGAAAAAAAAAATAATCAGACTTTCAGAGAATGACTAGACACTGGATCTGAATGGACACTAATTCCAGGAGACCCAAACTGTCACTAGAGCCAACAAGTCAGAGCCAGGGCCTATGGGGGTCAGGTGATCAACAGTTTTAGCACAGGTTTATCTCACAGCTCATCCTGTGTTGTTATTCTGCAGTTTTCCCCTAGGTTCAGAACTCATGTTTGGAAAGCTAGGCTCAGCAAAGATGAAATGGCCTCTTGAAGACTCTGGTACAAATTGTAATGCACCAATTAGAAATATATGTAGGGCTGGGGTTGTGGCTCAGGCAAAGCACTTGCCCACACTGGTTTCAATCCTCAGCACCACGTAAAAATAAACAAATAAAATAAAGTCATAAATATATATATATATATATATATATATATATATATATATATATAAAGACTTTTAAAAAAAAAAAGAACAAAGGGCTGAATAAGAAAGAGTTCTTTCTGTATGATTGATTTTGACCTGGGACGTTGGTCTTCTCCTGCTTTCAGACTCAGACTCAGACAAAAACCATTGGCGCTCCTGGTTCTCAGGCATCCAGACTTGCATTGGAACATACCGTTAGCTGTCCCAGGTCTGGACTTCTCAGACTCCTTGAGTCAATTTATTATAGTTATGTTTCATAATTGGTAGTCACAGACATTAGAGAGAATTCAAGTATAGTTAGAAGTTTTGTTTAGACACTGAGATATAAACTTAGGTTCCTGTGGGCTCCTGCTCCACCTGTGCTTTAATGATTGACAGTGCCTCAATTTCACCATAGCCAATGGCCCATCATGGATCCTCCACCAGAGTGAGTGAAAAACACCTTCAGTCAAGTTCAGGTGATGAACCAAAACTCAGTGGAGCATACAGAGACAATGTTCCTTTGGGAACATTTCAACAAAAGCACAAAGAAAATCACCCTTCTGGGCTGGGGATGTGGCTCAAGCGGTAGCGCGCTCGCCTGGCATGCGTGCGGCCCGGGTTCGATCCTCAGCACCACATACCAACAAAGAT